ACAGGTATAAAAGCACTTGCATTCCTTCTGATTCTAACTAATCTCAAAAGATCTCTGTTAATTGACTACAAAAGTTTTTGACCAGTTTTATATATAATTATAAACCTAAAATCATAAAAAGAATATTATAAATCAATTTGGCCAAACATATTTGAGTGCACTCTAGTTTTATAAATTGTCTTATATGTTTGTCTGTTGCCTGTTTGTCCATTTGTACAGTTGAGCTCAAATTATTTTTTGTTTCCTTTTCACCTTTTGAATTTTTTTCTTAAAAGATATTCACCTATTATTAAATTGCTTTACAGATTAATGTTATTAATTTAAAGGTATGCCCTGCTTCCCTGAAGTTGCTAACTGATCAAAGTGCCATCAAGATTTATTTTACAAAAGTAATGTGTATTGTCACCTACTTGGAATAAACAAATTGCAATAAGCAGTTATAAAAATAAAAGGATATATATATATATATATTTTTTATTTGTTTGTCAAAGTAAATGGAGACTGTGGGTACTCCCTTTGGTGAATAAAGAAGTGGCTGCCCAGAAAATAATTATTTTTGTCTTAATTCACTAAAGGGACCCCTCATAGTAATTTTCATAATCTTATGGGAGACACACCACAACAAATATTGTCTCAATATGTAATTATAAAATGTTTACATTTGTTAAGCTCTAAATATGTTATTATAAAATGTTTACATTGGTTGAGATTTAAATATTTTATTGTAATATGTCTACATCGATCATCTTCAAAAGATTACTTTCTGTGGCATAAACAAAAGAGTCTTATTAGAAAGATGCTTTTGGTACCAAACTACATTGACAAACATAAGACTTTATATAATTGTGATATTTATTACTGCTCCTTCTCTGGTGTACAAAATGTATTCATGCCCTCTAACTGTATGGGTCTTCCAACATATTGTTTATGGTAATAACCTTTTGATTCAGATATTTGCCTTTCTCTTATGCTCCAACCACGTATGATAATAGGCACACTTGTAGGCTGATACATTTTCCTTAGATGACATCCTATAAAAAGATAGTTACTTAGGGATTCAACCACACAAACAATCATGTTTGGTAATAATAATAGTCTTTTAACTATATTTTTATTCCAAAATGCTTAATGTCCAGGTAAAATTATAATAGTTGAGTTCACAACTCCTCTTACAATGCTAATGTTATTGATTTTCTCTTCTGGGTGTTCATCAACCAAAGTTTAGAGACCAGAACTGAAAAGGTATTTGGGCTAAAAAGACAATATTTGGGCCCTGGCCCTCCAAGGTCAACAACAACAAAAAGATCCAGTACAGAAGGTAAAATTCTCCAAGATCCTGCATCTTTGGTGAGTCACCCAAGCTCCTGAGCAGGGAGGTTGCTGAACACCAAAAGAGTAAAGATCCAACAAAAGTGTGCCAAAGTAATGTCACCTGGATGAAAGAATCTCCCATGCTTTCACAGAAAGCAACATGGTCAAGGAAGGCTGTGACATATCCTGTTGGCTGACACTGACAGAGGCACTAAGAGAATTTATGCATGGTTCCAAGACAGTCCCTGAAGAGACTCAATTGACCTTGTTAGATAGCAAGATGTTAATTTTATTTTTTTAAAATTTTATTTTATTGGTACAATTTAGGTATACAATATAATGAGACCCATCATTGGAAATTTGCACCTTTATATAATCTCTCTTGGTTCTTATTTTTTCCCCTTGCCCTGCTTTCCATTCAACCCCTCTATTGCTCCCTATTTACAAAGACTTTGTTTCCATTTTTTCATTTTTTCATATTAATTCCATTCCCTTCTTTCCTTTCCCCTACCCCTCCCATTTCCCCTTCCCCTTTGCCACTTTTCTTCCTATTTCACATTATTATACTATTTAGTCCTTATTTACACTTTCAGTTTCTCACACCAGAGAAACTATTCATTATTTACACATGTGTGTCCTCTTTATTTCACTTAAGAATATCGCCTCAATATGCATCCATTTAGCTATACATATCTCTAATTTCTCATTTTTTATGGCTGAGTAGTACTCCATTTAATTAAAAGCCCACATTTTCTTTATCCAGTCTCCAGTTGATGGACATTTGGGCTGTTTCCAAGTTTTAGTTATTACAAATCGTGCTGCTATGAACATGGGTGCACATATATCACTGTGGTATGATTCTTTTAATTCTTTGGGAAGATAGAAAGCAGGGAAAGAGCTGGGTTGATGCTAATTTTATTTACTAGAGGTCTCACCATAACTTGATCTTAAACACACAGTAGAAAAGAATAACTAAAGATAATATTTATTTGAGTTCAACAAGAGTTTTAAGGTTTTTAGACAAAATTGTTTTAAAAATTATTATTATTAGAGTTTTAATCCTTTTACAGCCAATTTAAGAGAAATTATGCTTATTACAAACAGCTAAGCCAATCAAACACACTGCAGATCCTTAAATATATAGGGATAAGCCATTGTTGGGTGTGCTCACTTTTCCTAAAAATACCCTTACATGAAACAAAAAGAATGGGAGATATGTTGGGAGCAATTCTACATCAATTTGGAGAAAAATCATTTCATTAGGCCTAGTTTTTCTGCCTACAGGCCAGCTATGTGATTTTGAGACAAAATTCCATTTTGGCCTTCAGTCACAGCTAAGACCTCAATGGTATGGTGATGCTGTGATGCTCCAGGACAAGATTACACCAGTTGAAGACATCCTGGGAGGAACAATATCTTCATCTATTCAGTTCCTCATTGTTCTTGAATTTCCACTGCTCGCAAGTCATTTGTTACACTTTGTTTATCCTGATGTACTGAACTCTCTGTAAATCATTTGTTACATTTGTTTTTTCTGATGTACTGAATAAAAGTTGTGGTAAGCTCAGAGGCTTTCTTTTTTGCCACCCAGAGCAGCACTGATCAGGTCCAAAGCTCAGCTTCTTCTCAAAGTCTCATTTTTTTCCTACCTTTTGTGTATAATAAATCAATTCACCTTGTGCTGTCATGGCATGAAAGAGAATAGGACTTACTGCAGAGGTTCTAGTAACATTCCCCTTCCCTGTTCCCTACAGAATGTTATTAATTGCACTAACTCTCCACATCCAATTTCCCAAAACTCTCCTTTTCCCACCACTGGAAGAAAATCCAAACTCCCAAATGTATGAGAAGTTCTCCTCCAGTGTCTTCTCTCTCCATACATTCTATAGAGATTCCAGAAGCTGATGGAAGAGAGTAGATTGGGCAGATGGCAGCTGGAAGAACAGAATTCTCAAACTTAATCTGGAGACTCCAACTCAAGTTGGAACCTCAAACTGCCATGCTATCTATGAGCTCTGCTTCCCTATTGGCCACCACCTGTCTCCCATCCCTTCTTCTCCCTATATCACTTCTTGGAATGACTTGAGAAAACCCTTGGAGTCTTTTTGAAAAATATTTGGCAGGAATAGTAAAGGACAAGTTCCAGGTGCAAGGCTGCCCCTGGAGGTAAGGCAGCTCTAGCTGGTCAGGATGAAGAAAAAGTTGAAATTAAACAGCACCATGGTCCTTGTTCTACCTGCCATTCACACTTTATCACTTGAAAGGCAGGCTTCTGTGTTTGTTGCTTTCTTTCTGTGGTTGGCAGAGGTGGTGAGCCAGGAATCTATCTTAGCAGAAATCCTAGTAAGTCTCCACATGATACAGGGAGCCAAAAGTTTACAGGGTTTGCAGGATCCCAGTGTTGAGGTTCTCAGTGTGAGTCTGAAAGCCAGCCTCCCCTTCATGACTGGCTGGCTAGAGATGTCTTCATGGGCAAAACCCTTGAATGTACAACATTTCTTCTTAGGGAGTGTGGTAGGGCCAATGTGCAGGACATGTGGAGGCCAGTACCATAGTAGCTGATTTAGCCAATCTTCCATCTATTCATTCATCCCTCAGCAAAGTTTTCAATACCTGTCACATGCCACACCCTGCTCCAGGTGCTAAAAGTCAAACAGTTAAGAAGACAACAGATTGACCCTTCATGGAGCTGGCATAGAGGTGTCAGAGATGCTTCCTCAAAAATTCTCTCTGAAAAGTTTCTGGGGACCTGACAACTGATAAGTCACACACAAAATGGCAGAGATAACTTCCTCACCAGTGGTGATCAGGCTTTGCATGTTTATTTGCTACTCAGGAAATTTAAAGCCAAAAATGATGGGATCCATGGTGCCAATGTAGACTCACACATTTCAAGGGATAGGGGTTGAAGTTGTCCTTTTACAGAGAAAAGCAGTGAGAAGCAGCTAAGGAGGAGAATGAGGGAGGCCAAAGGCAGCATATGATTGTGGTCTTCAGCACCATACAACCTCCAAATGTCATGTAATGTTTAAAGTACAATGTCATGTATAGTTTTAAAAACCCAAGCAAAACATATTTTGTATAAGTCCATTTATATGAAGCACTCAGAAGAAAAGTCCATAGAGACAGAAATTAGATTTGTATATTTTGGGGCTGGGATAAGGGAAACAGGGTGTATCTGCTTCCTAAATACAGGGTTCTTTGGGAAAGAAACAAATATGTCTGCAACTACATAGTGATATAGGCACAACCATGTAAATGAACTAGGTAGCACTGAACAGTACAGGTTACAATGATCCACTTTACGTTATGTGAATTTCATCTTCATTCAATGGTGCACAGTAAACAGTTTGAGATTCACAGCCACAGTATGAATCTCCTCCTCCACTCACTGGTGCTGTGAGTCTCAGGTAGCTAATGCCATTGCCTGGCCTTGGTTTTCATCTATAAAATGGGCATGACCCTGTACCCATGACCTGGGGCTATGGATAGGGACACACCTATATAAAAGCCTTTAGCACAGAACATGGAGCACAGAGAGTTGACAAATGCAGACTGTGCTTCTTTTGGGTAAGGGAGAAGTCACTCAGCATGAGATGTAGCCTGGCAGGCAGAACTCCAGAAGGTCCTTGAGTCAATTTCCCCTTTGAACCCCCAGCTTCTATATATACACCAAAGAAGGGGCTTGATTATTGTTGATCCAGCTCTAAGTTCTGCAACTTTATTCATAACAGAAAGCAATACAGCACAGAGCTTTGGAAGAACCACAGCAGCATGGAAGGAAGACTACAGAAATAACTTTTGCATGGAGTAGCAACAAGGTAGGGGGAAGGATGCTGTTTCACAACATGTTTCTCAGAGGCAGGAAGTGAGGGGCCATTCTCTACAGAGCTAGGGCACTTGATGATCCTGCAATCCTTTATTTTATTCCTCCTCCCTCATTCCACTGTGCGGGGCAGAAAGCAAACCTGGTATGTTGGGGGTATTCTGCTCAAACCCATTTTCTGGGGTGTGAGGTCAATGTCCTCAGGAGCCACTGGGCTGGAAATGGAGAAGTTCTGAAGGATGGTGGTGAAGAAGAGGAACAGTTCAGCGCGGGCTATGCCTTCTCCAAGGCAAATACGCTTCCCTGTGGACAAAGAAGTTCAGAGGTGTGGGCCAGGGTGATATTCTTTGCCCTGTACATCCCTAAGCCCAGACACCTGTGGCCATTGCACAGAAATGACCTTTAGTCTGCAATTTGCGGTGGACTTGGAGGAGGTTCCCGATCCTTCTGACACTGGGTAGAAATCTTTAGATGCATATTCCACATTTGCTTCTCTAGGAGATACAGTAGTTTGTAATTCTGTTAGATTTCCAAAGGGTTCAGGGGCCCCATAGGAGATAAGGACCCATTTGTGTGTATGTGTAAGTACAAAATTCTGTGCGTATTTATGACTTAACAATTTCGGTGTTGTTCATTTCTGTTATGAGGAGAATATTATCAATCTCCTGGGGCTATTGTGAAGGTTAAGTTACTATTCATAAGAACTCATACTAATACCCAGCTCATATTAAATAATCTATACTGTAGTAAATGTTTTGTGTTTTTTCTGGGTGGTAGGTGTTTCTGGCACTATATACCGCCCCCCCCATATCTGTCACTGTGTGTCTCTGTGTAGCAGTCTGTCTCATTCTATCTCTGTCTTTCTGTCTATCTGTCTCTCTTGCTCACTCTCTCTCTCTCTCTCTCTCTCTCTCTTCCCTTTTCCCACCTTCCACCCACCTTCCATCCCTCCCCTTTCTCTACCTCAAGTTCTCTGTTTTTTAATATATCCAGAATTTAGAAGATATGAGCTTAGAAGTACTCAGGGAGGGCCCTAAACTGGTTTTTCTACTGGATAATTTCTATAAACAGATTTCTCCAAAACAACCTGCTGCCTTGTCCAGAACCCTCTCCATCCCTGGGACTATATACTTGGGTGCTCTTTGATATCTCCTTGGCTCTTACACACCTATGGACATGTTTATCTTTTTTTCTTGCCATAGTAGGCTGCATTTTTCTTTGCCTGTATGTATCAGGCCCTGTTTCTTTGTCTTTCATTTCCCTCTTCTCTTTTCTACTTTCTGTCCTCTAAACTCCCTGTCTATTTGGATCTGATTCACTCTCATTCGTTCTGTCTGTCTGTCTCTCTCTCTCTGTCTGTCTCTCTCTCACTCTCTCTCTCTTGCTCTTCTTCTCAGTTTTCACTATTGCTAATGTATATGTCCCTGTCCTTACTTACAAGTGCAAATAAGGCAAAAGCATAGGTTAACCAACAAGCTCTTTCTGTATGGCAATTCTTTTTCTTGTGTATAACTACTGAGTGCCTATGTTGCTGGGTAGAGCTCTCAATCTTTACTGGTTCAGGTTATTATCCAGTCATAAATGATTTCTCTGCTAAAATAAACTCTACTACATTGACTGTCCCTAAAGTTGCTTTTAACAATGCACAATAGAAATTAGGAAGGAAAGTTACTCAGATTGTCCTCTCTGCTCGCAACCCCTCTAAGCATTTTAGTTCTGCTTGGGTTCAGCTTTTTCAGCCAGGCCCAGATTTATACAGTCCTAATTGAAGAGAAGAGAAGAAAAGCACACCAAGCACATAAATATATGCTAAATGAACCAATGAATAAACTAACATAAATGCTAACTGAATGAATTACATTAGCAGAGGAGTACAAATTCTCCCTGTTCTATGGAAATGGCCAGAGAGAACAGGGTACTGCTAGGAACGTAGATAAGAAAGCGGTCAAATAGGTTGCCAATATCTACATAGTTATTTCCTTTATCTCTGCATTTCCTGGCAAAAGCCAATGGAGGAAGAAAAGAGATGCAGAAGGAGGACATCATGTGCGCCTACTCTATATCCATTATCCAATATCCTGCCATCAGTGTACAGCAAGGACTTCATCCCTGCCCAAAGAATCAACCTGATTTCTAGAAAATCGGTTGAGATGGTTGGTCTAAGATTATTGACCTTTCATCCCCCTTGAAACCACAGAGACTGGTTTGGGGATGGGCAACACACACAATGTTGTTCAAAGAGACCATAAATTCCAAGCCTGGTGAAGGAGGTGGCTACCCAGAAGTACAATGTGAATATGGGCAGTCCCAGAGTACTGCTGGCATTTTGCCATGTGGCATTGTTAAGGAAGTGTGGAGGGTTTGAGATACCCAAAAGCATGAGAAAATGGTATCCTTTCTTGGTGAGATGGCTTGAATTGTGGGCTCAAACCTCCTCTGAAGACTACTTATTTCGAGGTTTTTATAATATGAGTCAATAAATCCCCCTCGTTGTCTAAAGTACAATAAAAGCATTTTTCTGCCATTTGTGAAAAAATCCTAATTAATACAATCAATCTTCTTTTCTCCATGCTGGATGGAATGCTGCAAATTTTCTGACTTGGAAATAAAATCTAACTGAAGTCAGTGTCTGAGACTATCATAGATGTCAGATTATGATGTAGAAAATGAACTTTTAAAACATTTTGAAAGACATCGATACAATTAGATATTAGTTACCAGTGGCACACATTCTATTCTGATTGATTTTCTGTAAAATCCTATAGAATATTTTTAGTTTGAGTGGTTCATTACTTTAAATATGTTGCTTTAGCAAATTACCAGAAACATTATATAAAGTATTAAGAACTATTCAGGTAGTATTTCAAAGGGTTTTACACCACATTAAAAGCAAGAAACAGTAGATTTGACTAAGAAATTTAAAACATGCATTTCAAATAACACTATGAATTCTTGGAATCCAAGAGACAACTCCATACATGACCAGAAACAGAAATTATTTGTTTCCATAACTAAGATTTTAAGTTAAAAGGTAGAGAAGAGAATGTCTAGCTCTGAAGATAAAGAGTATAAGCATGAATATTAAGAGGAGAAAAAAACCAAGTAAGCTTTTACAAATACATATAAAACTTTACCATGAAGATGTAGAACTAAAAAAGATTGTATTCAAAATTTGGAGGAACAATAACTGCAAGAATTTTGGATTTTGCATAATTCAGATATTAATTCTACATCTGATCATGGTCAAACTGCTATGTTTGGCACACATGAGGGACATAAATTGTAATTCATCTGCAACAAAGTCATATTTTTTTTACTATATTTAGTCATATAACATATTTGATTCATAGTTTTCTTCCAATAAGAGAGTCTTTGAAATTGAAAATATATGTTTTAAATGTACAGGAAGTTAAATTACAAGAACTAAAAACCTGATAGCTGTTTCTTGGCTATATGTACCAGGAAATATATATGTTTATAGCTGTATGCACACCCTCTTTCTTTATCATTGTCCTATCGAGAGATATTAAAGTAAAAGTGTCTTCAACCAGCAATATTTGACCACATAACTGGAAGGAAGTAAAGGTAAATGCAAGAAGAGATTAAGAAATAAACTGGTTTGAAGCTCTGTTGTGCCTTGTGTATTTTTTGATGCCTAGTGCAGATTTATGTATTTTTTATTTTTTATTTTTTTAGTTCTTTTATTGGTACATTTTAGGTACACAATTCGTTTACATTTATCATTGGGTGTTTGTACCTGTACATGATATATCTTGCTTCAGATTTAGATGTACCTGGAAAGATTTCCATTTAAATAATGTTGGACATGTGGTGGCCCAGATGGCAGCACAAATAAATATGAATTGTTTCCTCAGCTAAAAAACAAAACAAAACAATCCAGAGTGCAGAATGAGGACCTGGGCAAATGAATGTATCAAGACCTTCCCCAGCTCCTCAGTGCTCCATAGTAAATCCAAAGCCCTCCTCCAGCATTTCAGGCCATGCCAAACTGAGCTCCTCACCGTGTGTCCTTTCCTAAGCTACATACCAGAGCTTTTTACTTTCTGAAATGCACCATGAAGACTGCACCTTCAGTCTCCTGGCCTTTGGGGTTACCTCTGCCTAGAATGCTCTTCCCAGTGGCTGATCAATACTCACAAATGAGGCAACCCACTTTCTAGTCCCCCTTCTGTCTCTCTTAGGCAGAAGCTTTCTTTCTCCCAATAAATTTTTCCTACTCTTAACATCCATTGTTCCTAGAATTAATTCTTTGATTTTAGAGAACATGAACTTGTGTTTCAGATATCTAGTAGGATTAGGAGTTACATCTCTTCCCCCATGTCATTTTGGAGGTCTTCCACTGAGATTACTAGTCAGAGAATTCATCAGTGAAGACACTGGGACCTCGGCTTTTCTTTGTTGCATGATAAATGTGGTGTAGTAGAATTTAGAAACACTGAAGCTCTGCACATCTTTCAAACAGATCCAAGGCCTGGACCTCAACAACATTTGACCTATGTTTAAAGAAAATCATTTGAGCCCTGGCCACCTGGAGCCCCACTCCATCCACCCTGTGCCAATCCCACCAGTGACTAGCTAAGCCACATGGGCACCTGCAGTCCACCCTCCCCTTTGGCCTCCTGGCTGTGCCTCCACCTGGTTCTACATTCCAAAGGCATGGGAGGCATAAAAGCCATTGTCCTGAGGTCCAGAAGATAGAGCAGAAGTTAAAAACAGAGGGCCTCTCTCAGACTCCTTGATGAAAACTGAAGCCCACTGGAAAAGTGAAGAGAATCTCTGCAATAAAGGCACATCAGACCACCATGCTTGTTAAGTTGGAGGGATCATCATTTCCCATTGGAACTTGGTCTATATTCAGGGGAAAGACAGCTGGAACCTGCAGTAGAAACTTGCAGAGTTCAACCTTGCGTGAGGACAGGGAGCTCAACTTGTGACTTGCAGCCAGAAATCTGACTGAATCTCATGGGTCTGTGCCTGGCTTGCTGAGATTCATTGACTTATACTAGCACACTGCTGCCCATGTTGTCTATTGTGACAGCAGAGACATACCCGGAAGGAGGCCCTTCATTTTTATTTTTTTTTGTTAGTTTCAAAATTATTATTATATTTTTGCTCTTATTTTTAATTTTTTTTCTTTTTCTACTCTTCAAATTATAGTTTTTCTCTTTATGCTTTTGTTTCTCTTTTCTTTCTATCTCTCTCTCTCACTCACTCTCTTGCTGTCCCACATTGTTCATCTCCCATGTTGTTTCTGTTCTGGCCCTAATTCAGATGTCTTCTTT